AACTTTATTTCTAAACAATCTAAAAGTTCATATCTGTAGGCCTTTACAATAACTAAAACATTGGTAGTGTTTACACTGAGCTATTAAGACTTATTAAATCTCAAGCCACTCTTCAAAAGATTTAAGGAAGTCTCAAGTAGCTTAAAAACCATCCTTACAACCGACTTAGCCAACTTTTGGTTTCATGACCGTTGAGTTGTACAAAGCATGCAAAGCAAGCTGTATTATTGCTTGCATGGGAAAATAAACTTAAGTCAACTTGAAGTCACAAAAAGAAAGCTGTGCTTGGAGCTCTAAAATAATAGATGAACTATTCCGAATTTACTTGACTTGAAATATTTAAGCTTATTCAGGCTCAAGTGTTAACGCTACCTATAGCAGACAAAGTAATGCAACAGATTTTAAAATAATAACTCCAGGTATGCATTTCAGAGTTCATACAACAACTGCACCTTTTGTATGCCTCAACAGTAACTTTAACATGCCAAGAATCTAAGGTAACACACATACAATTTCTTAGTTCAACTAATACAGGTTTATGCCAAAAATACAAATTTCACTAACGCAATGAACATAACTATGATCTTTGAACAATTCATAAACAGGGTTAAATGATGGAAGCAAAACCTATGCAGCTTAGGCAACTTTGCATTTCTGTATCAAATAACATTCACTACAAATCAAATTCATCTTTTCAAACAATCTGAAACTTAATACAGACTCTATTTTGTATGTCTCAACAGTAAATTTGAGGTAACGTACTACAATGTGTACAGTGAACTGGGACATCAAGAAATACAAATTTTACTCAAGCAATGCATATTGTTACAGACGCACAACTGAAGCGACAAACTGAAACAGCGACTACAACAAGAGAATCCAGCAATATAAATACAAACACATTGTAAACATGAACTCTAAATTTAATGTTGACACAACATGCACAATTGGCATAAAGTTTACAAGCCAAAATGGTTAATTGAAGTTCTAAAAATGTTCAAAAGCTTATCTGCCTGGATAGTACTCCAAAATAAAGTCTTCATCAACCAGGAACAGAGAGTTTTAGCAAAACAAGGTGTACAAAAGGTCCATGTCACCACACGTTCTTCTTCACAGCAACACTAACTAATAGAACTGCACAAAACCTCCACATGTGCTTTTTCCTAATGTCCATATATGGTCATACAAAAGGTTACATGAGAAACCGGTGGTGCATGACTTTAAAAAGGACTGTTTGTAGGAGTGTAAGCCTCGTAACAATATAACAATGATCTTTTAACAACTAGGAGTGTTATTTCAGAGTGAAATGACAAAAATACAACTTGGGGAACTTTGGTATCTATGCATTTCCAAATGCTTGCCCTTTACAAAAGGTCATCAAGAAAACAACACTGAATTCCTTTTTAGTGCAAATGTACTATGGGTAGAGTTATCTCTTTTGCCCATGTACCAACAATCAGAAAACAGATCGTACAGAAAGGGTTATTCTCTACACAGTCATGACTGAATCTGATAGCTATTACCCATCTTTCATCATTGAGTGGCTTATGTTGCCATGCTAACCAGCCCATTACGCCTCTTGGTGTCAGATCAACAGTGGAAAACTGCTCAGCTGGCTCAAGATTAACACTACTGACTCCCCGAGAGTAGAGTAATCTCTAAATGCTTTTGGTTTTTTGCCATCTCAGTTTTAAAACGAATAACACAAACTGCGGTTACAAACATCAGAAATAACAAAGACATTGTATCACTGACTTTCATAATATCGAACGTGACGTTTTATGCTTCAACATACATCTTCAGAAGTGACCGTTAAAATGAGTAGTAACTAAATTTAAATCAAAGAAACAAAGTAAGGTAAGTATCTAATTAACATGAAAGAAAAAAAATTAAATGTGACAAGTAAAGCTTTTCACTGCTTATAGTTTCATTTAGGGCCGGTTTTAAAATCCTAATAAGAAAAGTCTCCTTGATTTTGCAATGGGTATTTTCCGCTTGCTAAAATGCCAAAATGGTCCAAGTTGAAGTGACGTGTTCTGCAATAGCTGATGAATGACTGTTACTGGTGATTGCCTTGAAGTGTTCAGTTTTTCTGTCATGTAATCTCCGTTTGGTTTTGCCAAGGTAGAAATCCTGACAGTCCCAACAACTAGCTTTATATACAACTTTGGACATTTGAGAACGGTTGAGCCTGTCTTTGCCGGGGGAAAAGAGACTTGATGTGATGTGTGTTCTGGAAAATGATGCCTTATTGTGCCTGCAGTCTGGCTTTGGCTTCATGTTAATGCACCCATAACATTTATTTATACAAGCCTTGAGTTGTTTGGTAATAATCTAGCTTTGCAACCCTAAATAAGGTAGTAAGAACTTGCTGGGGTTTGAACAGAGGTGTAAAATTTCTGCCCGTCACGACGTCAAAAGGTCTTATAAGGAAGCTCGTTCAAGTCTCAAGTCCACCTTGTTAACACTTGACTTCAACCACATTTGCTCTACCGTGGAAACCAAAGTACTGAGGTAAAAGCATCGCCTTTCTCAAAAGCTTGAGAGAAAATTAAACAAGTTGAAACGGAAACATGGAACACCTTTATTGTCACACTTACTTCGAGTTGTCTAGTGCATTGTAAGCAGAGACAAAAAACTCTTACTTAAGACAGCTCACACAAAATTAACAGATGTCTCCAATTCTTGAGAAATTGTAAATGCCAAGACTAGAAATGTGTTTGAATAACTTGAACTACTTGCAAAATAAGACATCACGTCTTTACCACATTCAACACACGTATAAGAAATGTAAAATGTAAAAATAAAAATGTTCTAGAAGTTTTAAAATCCTCGAAATATATTTAGTTACAGTTAGTGTAAATTTATTTACAACGGTTGATTTCCAGGAAACACTTGAAGGACCTNGTAGAAATCCTGACAGTCCCAACAACTAGCTTTATATACAACTTTGGACATTTGAGAACGGTTGAGCCTGTCTTTGCCGGGGGAAAAGAGACTTGATGTGATGTGTGTTCTGGAAAATGATGCCTTATTGTGCCTGCAGTCTGGCTTTGGCTTCATGTTAATGCACCCATAACATTTATTTATACAAGCCTTGAGTTGTTTGGTAATAATCTAGCTTTGCAACCCTAAATAAGGTAGTAAGAACTTGCTGGGGTTTGAACAGAGGTGTAAAATTTCTGCCCGTCACGACGTCAAAAGGTCTTATAAGGAAGCTCGTTCAAGTCTCAAGTCCACCTTGTTAACACTTGACTTCAACCACATTTGCTCTACCGTGGAAACCAAAGTACTGAGGTAAAAGCATCGCCTTTCTCAAAAGCTTGAGAGAAAATTAAACAAGTTGAAACGGAAACATGGAACACCTTTATTGTCACACTTACTTCGAGTTGTCTAGTGCATTGTAAGCAGAGACAAAAAACTCTTACTTAAGACAGCTCACACAAAATTAACAGATGTCTCCAATTCTTGAGAAATTGTAAATGCCGAGACTAGAAATGTGTTTGAATAACTTGAACTACTTGCAAAATAAGACATCACGTCTTTACCACATTCAACACACGTATAAGAAATGTAAAATGTAAAAATAAAAATGTTCTAGAAGTTTTAAAATCCTCGAAATATATTTAGTTACAGTTAGTGTAAATTTATTTACAACGGTTGATTTCCAGGAAACACTTGAAGGACCTTTAGAGTAAACGGGATTTTCGGTTTTAAAAACTGTTGATGTGCAGATGGTCCAAGTTGTTTTTTTTGAAATTTTGGAGTCACAAGAACAAGCGAATGAATCCCAATTCGAATTTGCCCTGCCAAAAAATATATACAAACGTTTGCTTAGATTATCTGGTGTTACTAAGCAAACAATTTCAAATGTTTCTCTGGAGCTTGGTGATTGACTGTCTTACTGAGGGCAGCAAAGCACCTTTGCTAATTACCGCATTAAATATCATGGGTGCTTTCTTTGTTCTTTTCTAGTTATCCATAGATATTGAACACCGGAAATTTACCTCAGGAAACTCCAGTCACACACTCTATCACAATTTCCTGCAGTAAAAGGTCATTGACCACAGTAAAGTGTCCAGTGTAACCCCACCTAATATTATTTTGAAATGTAATGGGTGTGGTGACTGGTTTGTGACCCTAAAACCTAATTGTCAGGTTTTAATATGGCCTATGACGGAAAGTAACTGACATCTACATTAGATGGCCCTGGGCCGTACTATAGATATGTTAGGTGGAAAAAAGTTGGCTGAGCAAACATAATTTATGAACAGGCGCTCAGAACCTTTTTTTTTCACCTGCCTACATTTATGGGAAGAAATTATCTGCCCAAGGGTCCCTGGGAAATTTGCTTTTGAGCTTGTAGATAAACCTTGTGATGTTACTTTTCAAACAAAAATTTTCAGCATTACCCGTACTTTGAGAGTCTTATTTGTTGTTTGTCAGAATTTTAAAAAAAAGTATGGGTTTTCTTTAGTTTATACCATTCTATAGTAGTCAAAACAGTGCAGGGGCTAGGAGACTGAGAAAAAGTTTTGAGTGTGTTTTATTGAGAACCACTGGATCAATGTTTTGATTGTAACAATGAATATTGTACAAAATTTTTACAGGCACATCAAGGGCCATGTCCACATAACCAAAGGAAAATATACATTGAAATTCAACAACATTTGAGGAATTTTTATATTACACTGTAATCAAGTGGAAAAATATAATTTTTTTGTTTGCATATAAAGCTCCAAAACAGAGGAGTGTATTTAATATCACCTTGTTTATACATTAAGATTATTCCTTTTTTGGTAGAAAAGATAGCAGAGGCTGCATTTGTTGTTGTTGTTGTTGAAACATACCCATCATTTGCTGTTGCATTAAGACCAATTGCTGTTGTTGTTGCGGCTGCTACTGTTGTTCGAACCTTGTAGCTTCCAGAGCTGCTCTTTCTTCTCTTTTCTCTTTTATCTTCTACTACTTTATTTCTAAATCTGACTCTTCCCTTTCTCTCAGCCATTCCAGCATGTCTCCTCCTGATCTCCTTCTTTTTTTCCAACTGTCTTCTTTTCTTCTGCCCTCTCCTGTTCATTTCGCTTTCTAGTTTCTGTTATCCCTTCAAGTGCCCTGTCTGTTATCTCCAATGCCTGCTTCTTTTCATTTGCAACAGCCTTTGTCTTTGTCTCACTTTGTTCTTCACTTTCCTTCTCTGACTCATGTCTGAGAGTAATTAGCTCTTCCACCAGTTTATCAGGCTCACTTTGGAGTACCACACCTCCACCACTTGCTCTTTCTTCTGTAGCCAGTTTTGCCTTTACTTTTCTTGCCAAGGTATTGAATCTGTCTCATATGGACCTTGGGTTAACAATAAACTCTTTCTGGCAATTTAGGCTTTCTGCCACTAAATCCCATGCACACCCTCTCCCCTGCCATTGTGGTTAGTAATATGACATCCTTCTCCTCTGTCCATTTCATGACTGACTTACCATGACAAAAGAATTTGAATTGTTACAACTCAAATTAAAGATATTCAGTTGAAATTATTAGGTTATTATTTTAAGTCTTGGTAGAGTTAATGGCACGAGGTTTTGACTACATTATTTAAATGTAATATATAGATTTAGCCAGGGCTAAAAGCGAGGCTTCCATTAATAAATTTATAATTTAAATTAAACAATAAACTTGTATTCGAATTCCACAATTCAGTTAACTTTAGAGCACATTTATGTGACTTTTGAGGGAAAGGCTACCTGATTTTAGAGAAAAATAATTTGCAAACAGCCCAAGAGTGAACCAAATCTTACATCGAGTTGATAGCCTCATATGTACACCCAAAAAACTGGTAATCATCTTCGATCACATTTAAGAGCCATAATGCCTCTTGGTCACCGTAGATTAATTAGTGGAAAAAAAATCAGGCCAACTTTTTTGCGTTCGACAAGTTTACTTTGCAAAATCTTGTCAACAAATCTGGGTGCATGTAAACCAACCTTTTATACCATTTATACATCACATCTGAGGTGAAACTGTAGTATGAGGCACTGTTTTTATCATACCGGCAGACCTCGGACAGAAAGCAGTATTTCACAATACAAGTTGCACTCATTCAATATTCATAAACTGTTTAAAAAATTTCCAAAATCACGTATACGGCCATCCGGTTCTCACTTTTGTAGTGCGAGCTGTGGCGAGTGTTTGAATGAACATTAACAGAGTTACGCTCCAACATTAGAAAGAATTTATTCTGTTTATTTTTTATTTCATGGTTTATTAACACGCGGCATTTTGAGTACTCCTGCAAGCAATGTTCACTGAACGACTGAAAACAATCGGCACAGCGATTAAAATTACAAGAGAGACTACTAACAATCAATAAAAGAAATATAATTCGGTGAAACATATACAGAAACAACAATTTTCATTCAGGAAAACAAGTATTAAAGGGATCCCTAAAAATCCTGAGTCTTCAAGCTTAACTTTATGTTTTAAGCTGGCTTCCCGGTGTTTGCTTTTTTCAAAGACGAACTCCAGGCAAGAAAATCGCTCAAAGCTTTCTTTTCCGGCCAGAATTATAACTAAATATTCTTTGGGACGTTTTCTTTCTATTCGCGGTGAGAAACTGTCTAAAGGCTTTTTAAAGTTCTGTAAGCTTATATCAAACCTGATACTCGGTCAGATCATTATCTCAAATCTTACAAACGTGCATAAACTAAATGACCGCATAAACTCCGCTCAACTTCATTAAATTAGATCCAAAAAAACAAACATCAAATACAATAATTTCTCTGGCTTACCATTCGAGATGCAGCTCCTGAAAGGTATCAAGAAAAGCCAGTATCGCTTCAGACTTTGCAATCCTCTTACGCATCAAGCAAGGTGAAAACTAAAACGATGCCATCCGAAATCAGATTTCCGACTTTGACAAGTGACGTATTCCTCAACCAAAAACCCAATAAACAAACTAGCCATGAATAACAGAGGACTCCTGGTAGCAGCTGAATTTCATTTTGCACATCTGGTGGAAAAAGACACTTTTTTAAACATCACAAGTTGACACAAAATTCTGTCAGCTTCAGCTGTCAAAGTAAACAAGATTCAAGATGCTGCATAAATTTTCCGCATGAACTCACCTGTCAAATTTTGACCAATCAGAGCATAAAAATTGGACGTAGAGCGTGACCAACGCGTGACCATGGTGAGAAAAGTCAAAAGCAACTGTCTTCCCTGCCAGTAACAGCTGGCTGAATTTTCGCGTCCGAGGTCAGTTTGCAATCAAAATTTTAATTGTGTAGGACATAAACACATATTTCATATGAATTTAGAAAAAACTTGAACTTGAGCCTGCGATCACTTGAAAACTAGTAACTTGTCAGCGGATAACTTCAAAAAAATACTTGACCTCGATGGGTCGACACCTGAGCCCGCGATACAGTCAAGTGATACTGGTCAGCAGGTACCCTGTTTTGACAGCTGTCAATTGATCAAAACATTGATGTCCAATATGTGTGCATTATCAGTTTAACTATAGTGGGGCGGATATGTGCAGATTTGGGGCCGGATTGTTCACTTTTTGTTAAAAGCACCAAATTTTCAGTAATGACAGAACTAATTATGACTATTAATATGTGATATGGTGCCATCGCAAATTTTTCCTTGTAAACTGGTGTTTAGAGTGAAAATTAAACTGGCCGCCATTTTGACCGGAAGTAAATATCATCTAATCTAAAGTACACAAAATTAAGCATTTTTTAAAGCGAAAATGACGATGAAATTGTTTATTTTATAAGCTAATCGTGGCTTTTAATATGTGATATGGTGCCACCGCAAATTTTTCCTGTTAAACCGGTTTTTGGAGTTATTACTAAAATGGCTGCCATTTTGACTGGAAGTTAATATCACCTAACCGAAGTACACGAAATTTAGCATGTTAAGACCGTTAAGGTCAAAATGACGACAAAATTGTTTGTTCTATGTTTTTCCGGATGTTTGTGTCTTATAAAAAAGTCAACCGTGTTACAATGTTAATGTTACAGCGGTTTAAATGATAAAACGGGAAGTAAAAGCGGGATAAAATGGAAAATGCAACTCATTCAAAGCAATTCATTTAAGTAGTGAATTTCAAATAAAATGTGAAACAATGATTCACATCTTTAAGCATAGGAAAGGCCAAACATACGAACAAACTAAACTAGCAAAAAACAGATTATTTCTTTTTACTTGTTTTGACCCTTTAAGTCCGGCTAACAGTGACGGACATCAATTTTCTCCTGACCATATCCATACACTGATGTCAAGAGATTAGGTTTTTAGAAATTAATAAAAATCACCTAAGAGACAATGCTTTGATCTTTTATTAAATTCTCTCAACTTATCCTTTTAAAGAAATATATAGAGACCAGTTTGAAGAATTTGTATGTGGATATTGGGGCTTAAAGGTTAAAGAGTTGATCCACTATTAACTGGAATGCAAAATGCTTTGCGGCTTTCAAAGTAATTTGAGGTATAATAGCTCCACCATTTTGTGTTATTGAGGAGCATAAATAACACTCTGTGCATGTACCTCTTGGATTGAAATTGCTTTCACGATAACGTCTGCTCATTTCAAAGTTTTACCATTTTCAAAAAGTTTCCCGGAAATCCGTTTTGGAAGGTAACGGGTCCCCTACTCAGCCTACTCTTTACAAACAGTGTCTGGGTTCTTTAACTTTCCACAGCATTTCAAGATAATGAACATGAACTGTGAGACGGGGCTTACGTTTTTTTTTTTATCCCAAGAAGACTAGAAAGTCTAACCCTTTGCAGATGACCGTAAAAAGGCAGCACTTCTCGTCAGTTACTTAAAGATCTTGATCCAGAGTTAGTCTGACCGGGATTTGAATTCCGCCTTTTGGCTCAGTGGACCGATGCTTATCCACCTGGCCCCGGTTGTTTAAACGTTGGGTAGCGCTATCCAGTGGATAATGCAATTGGTTTCCCTAATACTTATCCGCTGGATGGTGATTTATCCTGTGGATAGCACTATCCAAATTTGAACGACCAGGGCCTGGAGCTTACCAGGCGGCGGTTTTACCCATCTGTATTTCACTATCAAGTGACTCTGCGCCTCTCTCGACAGAAATGAGAGTTAGTCTCTTATCTTCACTGTAATCACCCCCCAGAATGTCATTTC